CAAACCGCTATACACCATTTATTTTTTTTTTTTTTATTAAAAATCGCTTGACCTGAACAGGCATCAAACTCACGACACATCCATTATCGTTTTACCCTTTCAATCGCTAGACGAGCTTGACCAAGGAACCACTTGAAAACTTTTTACTAGATACAGTTATAATTGAATAAGATTTCAAACTTTCGCTGATAGAATGAAATGCAATAGATTCAATTTGTTAATTTTTAGTGATCAGTTATATTAAAAAAAGAAGTATATATTATAGATGAGTATTATCTGGTAGGCTTAATAAATAATGACCTAAGATGGACGTCCACTGGACGTCAAAATACTACTATACTTAAAATTAAGTCCAAAAGCAATATCAATATTCAGCTGTCAATTTAATTAGCATAAACGGACGTACACTGGATGCCCGGATATGGACGTCCTGACCCTCAAATAGATCTAAAGTGGACGTACATTGGACTATGTGTGCTGTCTGGGCATAGACGAATTTTTTGAAATAGTACTTATTTAAGTGTAGACCAATATTTCCAAAATCAACTCCAGTATGATTCATTCAATAAATGTAAATATGAATGGGCAAAACATCTTTATATTGACATAATTGTACCTTACAATTTAGCCATAATAAAGGGAGTTTGCCCATTTTGACCAATCCTAATTGAAACACGCGGATTTATTATATTTTTTTAAATATAATTTCATAATAAAATTAACAAAATCTCCAGTTCACTGTTTATTGAATTTATTTAAAAGAAGAAAATATATATTTTACAAAATACAATACCTACATATTATGAAAAATAAAATGTCAAAAATGATTAAATCATTATACTTAATATTTATGCATGTGATAAAATTTTTAGTTTTCTAGTAACTTTTTTGGCACATTTTATATCTGCATTAGAATACTTAAGTGTGTAAAAATCTTCATCTTATTACTACACAAAACAAACACCAAAAAATATCACTTAACATTGCTCACGTACTAAACACAACTTGGACTGACTTTGACAGATAACATCAATTTGAGTGATACACAACTTATTTTCGCACATGCGCGTTACAAAACGGTACACTAAAAACACCAAGCTGTCGCTTCTCCTTGATCGTTATTCTCGGATATAATCAAGGCTAAAACAATAACATAATAGCCTACAAAATGGGTATACTAAAAGAATGATAAAGTCTAAGAGTTGAAAATTATTTAATAGGTATATCAGTACTTCGGAGATAAACTGTACTGTCATTCTAGTCAGCTTTTTAGTAGAGCAGACTGAACTTTGGTAAACACATTTTGTGTTCTATATTTACATATAATAATTATATTTCGACAAAAAATTCAGTTGGTCCCAATTATTGTCACAATATGTATTGTTTACTAATAATCTAACCATTAAAACTTTTTTTAATATACATGAATTGTTGGTTTTTGTAACATATTTTCTGATAATAAATTTTCTATGACATACATTGTGTTTTATACCTCATGGCTACATAAACAGTACGACTAACGTGAGAGTTAAATAGTGTTGTTTAACGTTTAACTTGTAAGTTTATTAAACATTGAACATAGTATTCTTTTTTTAAAGTCAACTTATATTGTGACATCACTATACATGGTATAGAATACCTCTGAAAAGGTCCCGATGAGCCAATTTTAAAAATAGTTTACCTCTCAGATATATATCGGTAAATATTTAATTTAGTATTTATGTTATAGGTACAACCTAACATAGACAAAACTATTAAGTTTCTTGAATTAATTTATGCCAGTGCAATATTTATATTTTATTTCCTCTTTAAAAAAAACTGTTATAAAATCCTTAGTGCTATATCAGTCTGACACTGTTTATTTATTTATTTATAGATAGGGCATTTTTCTACACCTTCAAGAGACAACCTACAAAATAAACAATTATTCATATAAAATTGTACTAGGGTCAAGAAATTTGGAAATAAACATAACCTTAACAAATAATAGTATTTTTTTACCTGTGACGTTTTTTGGTAACAATTGTTAAATTAGCACACATACTTCCGATTTAACAAAGTCGCAGTTTTATTAAAAACTTAATTTTTAATACAATTTATAATTAAATTGTCTCATGTTGATTTTTAGAATTTGACAGCTTAATTGGATAGTTAGGTTATGAAGTAGGTAGATAGGCAATAAGGACTATTTTGTGATATGACAAGTGAAGGATTTTTGCCTCTTATTTTCATTAATTTAAAGTTAATAATTTTATATTTCTAGATTGACGAAATGTAAATGTTTTTATATCATTTAATTACGGTATTTTAAAAAATGGCATTTATATCATCAAAACTAAATACCTCGAGTTTGACATATGTGTAAAAGAGTAATGCAAAAGTGCAGATAGGTTTAGTACCGTTATTGCTTCTCTATATCTATAATTTAAAAGATTGGTATGGCCCGCTCTACTTTGTGACGTCACGGTGTGCGTTCCGAAAATTGGGCTGATTTAACTTATTTTATAACTGTTTCACTACGTTTAGGGGATCTGTTATCGTGTGACAACTCTTTTTAGCTAAAGATTTTTAAGAATACATCTCACTCCTTCTGGCTCACTTATAAATTTGAAGAGTAGAATGAAGGGCAATGTCTCTAGATCCATACTAGGCCAGATAACTTGAAGTAAGTGAATATGAAGATAAGTATGGCCAACGAGGGGTACGTTGTAAAGCCTATACCTTTAATTTGTTTGGAAAGGTTCATAAATCTCCAAGCTACGCCCATGACGTAGGACTTAGGATATACAGGGTGTTTCAAAAAGGTATGTCATAAATTCTTCCACAGATAGATTACCAAAAAATAAGTGGATTTGGTTATATTTACCTTTATCAAAAACTGGCTTCTAACAAAGTTACAGGGCGTTAAACTAACATTCAAAAAAACGTTTTTTTTTTGTAAAAAGTTTGCTATTGCGAATTTTTTTTTTTTTATTTTTTGCCAATGCTCTAGATTTAAAGGCCCAATATTCTAAGGAGAAAAAAATTTAAAGCGACCCCTTTAATAAAGTTGGGGTTGGGTACCTTTTAACCCCCCCGTATTTTTTTGTCATAAAGAAACTTGCTTTATCGATCTAAAAATTAAAAAGAAATATGAATTTTTAATTTTTTTTATAGCAAAGTGAACTTTGTATCTTTCTTAGTTAACGAGCTATTTACAATTTTTTAACTGCATATCTAAAGCAATTTGTCCGTCCTGGACTTAACATATCAACAAAACTAAGAGTAGGTCAGGAGTTATTGTACAAAAAACGCATATAAAAATCAATGGTGTGTCTAGGGCTGTGCTTGAGCCGTCCCTGCAAAAACTACTTCTTTTAATTATATTTTTGTATTCAAGAAGTAGGAGGACATGTTGAACATTTACTAAATTAAATAGTTTGCCCTCCAATGGTGAAAAGCTGTATGTGAGTTTTAGCTATTTTGAGTAAAACGTGTTTGAATTTTATAATGCGACATTATCAATATTTACCATTCTTTTGATTTGAAATTTTTACAGGCTTTTCAAAACGTTATGCTGTGTTTATTTTTCTATTTTGACATCTTATGTGCACAGTTCATGGTTTATAATGTCGCTTAATTGTTTTTACCATTTTAGTTCAATCAATTTATTACAGAAAAAAAAAAACAAAATAAAAGCTTATGAAACTATATATTTATTTTCCTTTGTATTAAATTAAAAGTTTTACAATCCTTCCAAAGCCTTTTGTGTTTATGTAACTTTTACGTGTTTAAACCAATGCATATCTATCAATCTCTTTATTAATTAAAAAATAAATAAACATTTAATTTTGAGTTAATAAATTTTACGCGAAAAGGATATGTTTTAAAACATGTAAATGTAACAACAAATAAATATAATAAAACTAAGAAACAAATATTTATACTAAAACATTTAAGTTTAAAAATAGAAATTATACTCCTTCTTCCAGCATATCTTCAGAACCATCGTTCACATGTAAATTAACCCAAAATTGCTTTCTACTATCGGCTATCTTTGGTACTAATTCTTTTAGAATTGGGTTCTTTTTGGATGATTGAATACCACGTGATGTAGTTTTGTTTTTTTCAGAAAAAGTGAGTACCTCAACCTTTCGTTTTAAAATATTGGACGATTTTATATATGGCTGCTGATAGTCGTTTTTATAAAAAAAATCATGCAAACCTCTTCCAAATTTAACTTCAACTACATCTTTCAGGTATGGAAGAGTATCTCTTCTTTCTTTTAATTTTCTTTACCTTATTATACATTTTTAATCCATGAAGTCTCCAATAGTTAAACTCAAAATTTGGTTTCTATTTGCTGCTTTTTCACACACTTCAATAAAATCTTGAACGTCACAAACGTTTTTCTCTTTTCTCATTTGTTGTTTGATCTTTCCATGGATTCCGTCAGCTGCTCTTTGACAAAATATTTCAAACATTTTTCTTCAGTAGTAGATAAACCAGAATTAACATAATTTAATATATAAAACCCAATTTTTATTCTGTCCCGTACAATTATCAAGCAACAGAATTATGTTTTTAACATCTCTGTGTCTTTTCAAGAAAGCCAAAAAAGCAAATAGTACGTCTTCCGTATTTCTAGCAGCTATAGCCTCGTGTTAGATTACCAGTTAGTGTTTATCTTTGGGTTTTAGAGAAACAAAACTTTCGTTGAATAGAATAGGTCTGGATAAAAATAATGCATCTTTTACGTCGGGCATTCTATGCAACAGTATTATTTTTTGCATGTCGACAGTGTAAACTATAGTATGACGATCCCTATTTTCTTTGTCTTACTTATAATTTTGTCTGCTATCTTGAACCTATAAAAATATTAAAGGTATGATCGAAATACTTAAAGTAGGCGCATACTATTCGCTTCGCATTGCATGGAACAGATGGATTTGTTGGTCCATTGAAGATATGGCCTCGCAGTTCCGTGGATGCGCACGGATTAGTATGCGATACCCAATATATTAAGATAACATGGCACTAAAAATGCGATCCGTCGCTTTCGTGTGATGCGAGTAGTATGTGCCTACCTTTATAAGTAGATACATGATAAAAACTAAAATAGAGTTTACTTTTAAAAGATGCATGTTTTTCAACAAAACATTTTCTGGTGTTGGATTCATCACTTTATACTCCACATAGGTCCCACATTTTTCTGGTGAATCTTCAGTAAAACCAATATTCATTGAATTAACCACTTGTCTGTAGGTTTCGTTAACTATTTTGTGATTGGGATGTTTTAGGTTTATGCTAAGATCATACGGTAGATATATTCTATTCGAAGCGTAGTATCTCCTATAGTGTGAAAGTCTAGGCTTAAACGAAAGTATGTGAGATTCAAGTAAATCTAGGTTTTTCTTATGATGATTTGGATGCTTGCCCCTTTTATCGGCATTTGGTGTTACTACTTTATTACTCTCACTATCCGTGCATGCAGCAAGTACCGTTTTAAAAATTGTATCTGTTTTAAATCCTAAAGTAGCCAGGAACATTTTCTGACAAACTCTAACACAATGATCCTCGTTATTTTCAAAATGATTCGAAAAAAAGAAAAGCCTGGTATTTTTACGTCGTCCTTCTTGAATGCGTCGGTATGCTGGTTTTTCAATGACTTTTGTTGAAATCTAAACTCGTTGTTGATGGCGATTTATTTTCCAGAAACCCTCATACATTTTTTCACGGGAGCGAAAACGAAAGTTTTCCATGCATTTGTATTTATAGGAGCACAAAAAATCTGCTTTTATTGGGTCCTTTTGTTTATTATTTTTCATTTGGCTTTCAAGTGTACGGTATCTTTTTTTCCTAACTACTACTGATTGAACACCTTACCTTTCAAGTAGCTTTTCGTAACATAAATAATGTTCTTGAAGTAATTTTTTAACGCCAATATTCACCAAAACCTCACAGAATAGGTACACATACAACAACACTGACCTTGCCGTTAGGAAAGGCCTTTGGCAACTTAAATGTTTGCGCCATACTCCGGTCAAAACGTGTATAAAACTATAACGGTTAGAATTTTTGAAATTCAAACAAATTTAAAAAGTGGTAAAAACGTGTATACCTATTTTACATTTTTTTTTTAAATGCAAAGATTTTAATTGTCTATTAATCATACAATGAAATAACAACGTAAGAAGTTGATAAAATATATTTTCATTGTATTACATTTGTATATTGTCACTCTAAAAAATATACTTTAACTGTATCAGATCATACATTTTTCTTTCATTGGAAAGTTAGGTATTTTTTTGCTTTAAAATTTGAATAGCTTATATACGTCGTTTTACCAAAGTATCATAGGCACAAAAAGTGCAGTTACGTACTTTTATCATTGTACTCTGAAAAAATAACGCTTATACCTGCTTTGTCCAATGCATTTATTGAAACAACGATACGACTTAAATCAACGGCAATTATACCGGTCAAAAGAGCGTAAAAAGTTCATGTTAATGTAACCTTTAAAAAAAATCGAAATTTGGTTATAAGGCTTTTTACCATTGCAGGGCAGTAGTTTATAAAATATGTATAATAATTATTGTCAAGTCTTTATTTTTAATTGTTATTTTTTTGTTAATTGTTTAATTAAAAAAATAATTTTTTTAATTACTATTAAACTTAATGAATACATTTCCAAACTGACGTGTATTTGTATTAGTGGCATGGTAAACCAAGGGTGGCATACCATTTTTATGGCACCAATACAATATTATAAATACCCTTTTTACAAAAATATAAATAAAAGAAGTATTTTTGGCGGGGGCGGCTCAAGCACATCCCTAGATACACCACTGATTTTTATATGCGTTTTTTGTAGAATAACTTCTGACCTACTCTTAGTTTTGTTGATATGTTAAGTCCAGGACGGACGAATTGCTCTAGAAATTCATTTAAAAAATTGTAAATAGCTCGTTAACTAAGAAAGATACAAAGTTCATTTTACTATAAAAAATTTTTAAAAATTTATAGTTCTTTTTGATTTTAAGATCGGTAAAGCAAGTTTCTTTATGGAAGAATTTATGACATACCTTTTGAAACACCCTGTATATTACGACACGATAGTTAACTTCGCTTGGTCGGCTCACTCTTACTAAGGACTTTTGATCCAACGTAACCACACTTAGTATAATTCTACTTTTTTGGTAAATTTAATCTTTTTTTGCTGGTTTTAGTAGACTTTTTTGGTAGATTTTAGTAGATTTCTATAAATTTTCAAAAACATTCCAGTTAGTTAAAAAAAACATCATATTTAAATAGTTGTGTTGCTAAAAATGATTGCTATAAACGTTAGGTTATAACTAGGGTTGGGTGATTATCAAAATAAATAATATATTATTTAAAATAATCCTTTATTTTTGATTATTCGATTACTTAGAAATAATCGATTATATTATTTATTGATCATATATCACCAGAGTACAACAAGTTAGTTAATATTTGTAGTATTTCAAAATAGTATGATAGTAATTAACGCAAACCCAAATTAAAAAAAAACAGCAATATTGGCGATTGTTCAAAGTTTTAAACCGAACTTAAAAATGTTAAGTTAAAGTTAAAGTACAAATTCTGATGACAATAACAAAAGCAACAATAAACAAGAAATTATTCGTCTAATCTCCGTATAGCTATTGTAAGTTTATAAATTGCCACCCCACCACTTGTATCATTTCAAAGCTATTATTAGTTTCCGACTATAATTCAAATCCAATTAGGTTTCCATGGGCACTATAATCTATAGGTCCATTACATTTGTTACATCAACAGTCAAATAAACCAGCAATGTATTAAATTGATAATACAGTTGATTCACTAATACAGATTTGAATGAACTGAAATAATTATAGGTATTTCAAAATATTTTCGTCACGCGAATTATACATAATCGCCTAATCTAAACTGACATGCAATTTTGAAAAGCTTTTATTAGTCTAAATGAATGGTTTGTTTATCAATAGAAAATAAAAATGGTATTTATGTACTTACAGATAAAAGCTTTAAAATATTTTGAAAAAAAAATCTGGACATTTTTAATAAAAAATAATAAGCGGTTTAAGAATGAGGAAGTGAGAGGACTAACATTTGACACATTTCTTTTAAACCTATTTGTTCTAGTTTTTATAAACAAAATTTTAACTACTAATGTCCCATTATTAAATAATTGCTTTGTTAAGGATCGAAGGATTTCATCCTTATAGTTACTAATAATGTAAGTACTTTCAATAGATTTATTATTTTATCATTATATTAATTGCTATATATGTTGCATCGTATCTTATTTACTATGTTTACCTAATACTTTATAGCTTCATAGTTAATTTTATTGCCATTTTCACATCACTTATTGTTAAAGATGCTTCAACCTAATACATTTAAATCAGAATAAAGAATAAGAAATATTTGTACTAAAACATAAAATATCTTATACAAGCTAACACTGGCACGTATAAACTTTAAAAGCCAACTCTAGAAATATATTAGGTATGAGATTTTCTTAGTCTTATATATATAAGGCTCGAAACAGACCGTTAAGGTCTATGGCCTGGTTAGTTTCTTCCATTCGTCCCTTTTCTTGGCTTTTTCTTTCCAGTTGATGATCTGTTTTTCCTTAATATCTTCTATAATCGCTTCCCTCCATTTTCTCCTAGGCCTTCCTCTCTTTTTTTTCCTTCTGGTGTTGTCCAAGCTACTCTTTTTACTGTCCTTGAGTCCTCCATCCTTTCTAAGTGCCCCAACCATTGTAACCTTTTTGACTGAATTATTTCGTTTATGTTGGGTTCGTTAAATGTTTCGTAAATTTCTTTGTTTGTTCGTCTTTCCCATCCTTCTTCTGTCTTTTTGCCTCCATATATTCTTCTTAGTATCTTTCGTTCCCATATTTCAATTTTGGTTTGTTCTTTCTTATTTAGTGTCCATGTCTCACTACCGTATAGCATTGTAGGTCTGATTATTGTTTTGTACACACATTTCTTTAATTCCCATGACATTTCTTTAGATTTAAGTAAATTATGTAATGCTCCTGCGCATCTATTGCTCTTTGCTAGACGGAGATCTATTTCAGCTTGTTCTTCGCATTTATTTGTAATGAGAACACCGAGGTACATGTAACTGTCTGTTTCGTCTATTGTTATTTTTTCTATGGTTTTAGTTTGTAATTCTAGTTTTCCAGGATTTTTCTTAAATGTTTGTTTTTCAGTTGCATGTACTGACTCTTTTTTTCATTTATTTTTAGCCCCATTGTTCCTGCCGCGTCTAAAAACTGTTCTGTTATGTTTTTAGGTATTTTTTTGGCTACTCGCTAACAGTACAACATCATCGGCGTATGCTAATGCTTGGTGGGATCTGTTGATCAGGGTTCCATATCTGTTTATTTCACTGTTTCTGATGACTATTTCAAGGGTTAAGTTAAAAAGAAGGGTGGATAATGGGTCTCCCTGCCTAAGCCCGTTTTGGACTTCAAATTCTTCAGTTTCCTCACCTCCTACTCTTATTGCACACCTTGTATTTTCCAGGTCATGTTCGGCAGTTTTACAAGTTTAGGAGGTATTTTTAGTTCTTTTAACGCATTGACCAATTTTCGTCGATTTACTGTATCATATGCGCTTTTAAAATTAATAAACATGATATGTGTCGGTATTTCGTATTCGTAGCAACATACGAGTACCTATTTTAAAATAAAGATTTGGTCAGTCGTTGACCTGCCTTTTCTAAAAAGCCATATTGGTATTCTCCGATAATTTTTTCTCCTTCTACTTTTATTCTTTCTTTTATTAACATCCAGCAAAGCTATACCTCGATAATTTCCACAGTGTGCTGGGTCCCCTTTCTTATATATTGGCAGTATTACTGCTTTCCTCCAATTTATTGGCATTTCTTCCACTTTCCATATTTCTTTGATTAGTTGTATTATTTGTGTTATTAGTTGTTCTCCTCCATATTTTAGGTTCTCTGCGGTAATTTTGTTTGATCCGGGGCTTTTATTGTTCTTCATATTTAAAACAATTTCCATTATCTCCTCTTCTGTGGGTTCCTCAGCGGTGTACACAGGGATTTCATTTGCTTCTTCTTCCTCTTCTGCTGCTTCTTCTTCTTCTACTTTCTGCCTTTCAGGTTCATCGTTCAGTAGGTTTTGGAAGTATTGTTTCCATCTTTGCATTTGCTCGCTTTTTCCTCCTATTAAATTTCCATACTTATCCTTGATGTAAATATTTTTTGGCAAGTGTTTTTTTTTTGTATACCTTTTATATCTTTATAGAAGTGTTTAATTTCATTTTTTGGTAATTTTCTTGTATTTCTGCGACTTTTTTTTCTTGGTGGCGCCTTTTCTTATTGCTGCACATTTTTTTAACAGCCTTTCTTTGTTCTATATATTTTTTCCCGTCTGTATTGTTCCCTGTTTGTAGGTATTTTTCTTTTAGTTTGTGTTTTTTTTTTAAATTCTTCATCACATTCGTTATCTAACCATTCTTTTCTTTTCTGCGATTTTTTCTTATTA